CCCTCCTCCCGCGCTGTGTGCGGCTCCGGCGGCCGCGCGGAGTTTAGCCTCGGGCCTGGCCCCTTGGGAAGCGGTAGTTGGAGATTCAGGCTTTTTCCTTTGTTAAAAAAAAAAATCTCAGGTAGTGGAGGCCACTTCAAGCTTAAAAGCAACGAAAAGGTAGACATATATCTAAGTAGACATTGGGTGCGTGTGTGTCAAAAACAGCAAGATTAAGGCATACTAGAAAAAAATTACTTGCAGCACATGGCAGGCAAAGGACCTTTATATCATATTACTATTGATTAGTGAAGAAGCACCAGCGTTCCCATAGGCAACTGGGCAAAGGTAATGTAAAGCTCACGGCAGAGACCAGGAGGCATTGGGATGCTCGGAATTTCTTGTTGGACGTCCCTGAGGTGGGCTCCTGCCTGGGTCATGCCCGACTGCCGGGGGCTGTGGAGCACACAGCAGGTGCCGGCCGGGGTGAGCCTCAGGGTGGAGTTACTGCTGCACGGGCTCTTTTTCCACTTACCTAGTTGAGGGGGCGGGCTGTCCGGGCTTGCTGGTCCCCACCCAGGATTCTCCCACTCTTGAGGGGCGGGGCGCTGGCTTTTGGGGGTGGGGCCCCCAAGATGAGAGCATGGTGTGGGATGGGCTAGTGCAGAGGCCCATAAGGAAGGACTGGGCACCACGGCAGGCACCTCCTCCAGCCCTGATGGTCTGGGAGGGTTTCTGTAAAGGAGGTGGCACGTGGACTGAGGTCTGAAGGATGAATAAGAGTTAGCTAGGGGGAAGGGGAAATCTCAGGGAGGGAAAGAACAGGGTGGAAGAGACCTGGGCTGAGGGTTTAGGAAGTGTTGGAGATCAGGGTGTCTGGGATTGAGGGAGAAAAGGGAGCAAGAGGTGAGAACGGAGATCTTAGCAGGGGCCATAGCATGACGGTCATACAAGCCGGAGAGTCCGGGTCACCACTTCTGAAGGCCCTGGAGACCTTGGGGAGAGCTAGCTGGACTGCGCATTGTGATTATTAACTGGTGTAATCTTCACAGTTACTCTGTGAGGTGTAGGAACTTTATCCAGAGCAAGGAAGTGTCACAGTCTGAATTTGAAGATAGGTCTGTGAATCGAGAGCCTGGGTGGGTCTTAAACCACTGTAGCAGCATTTTCTTCAGTTAGCTATATAACACCCTTTGGTTTTTCCATGTCCTCTGTGGCACCTGTACTGTTAACTCCGTCTCATCTTAAACAGTAATGTCCAGGAAATGGTATGTGGGATGTGGTGACCAAAAGGAAGTGTTCTAGAGTAAGGCTAGAGAAGTAGGCAGGGTCTTGATCTTGGAGGTCTGGACTTTATATGTTGGCAAAGTATGGAAATGTTTTAAATGGAAACATGCCTAGAAGATACAGCTATAGCTTCAGGGGCAGGGCAGAGTAGATGCTAACTAAGGAGTCGGGCTGGAGTGGTGGTTCTTAACAAAAGGGATCCTGTTGTCAAAGGGATTGTGGAGTCCCTTTTTCCTTCCCCCACTCCCTGCTGAAACTCTGGGTCCCTCAACAGGTTTGCATGGTAAAGTTTCCCCACATGATTCAGATTATATTCTGCCTCTTGAGAATTTTGGATCTCAGTTATCTCAGAGTAAAGTTGACAGTCATCCACTGTCCTGATTCGCACCACTTTGTCAGTCCTTGTTCATCACCTCCCAGTAGATTGTGAAATGCAGCAAAGTTTTCTGACCTGTGAGGACAGAATTGTAAACTCTGGCTTTTCAACTCCAGACTCTTGGCAGATTAGGTAAATAGCACAGAATCAACAAGGGTAAAGTGGTTTTAAAAAACTGTAACCAAAACACAGTTGATGTACACACTTGGAAGTAGTTGATGAATAAAGCCTTACTTTCTAGTATTACAAAATAATTCTTCCCTTACATTAATTTCTTCCTCACCTGTTCAACTATGGGTTTAAACCTGGGCAGTCATACTGATCACCTCAGGACTGAGCTTTTGAAAATTGCGGACTTTTAGGCTCTCTCCCTGGAGATTCTGATTTGCGAAATTTGTAGTGAAAGCTTAGGGTCAGGTT